CTCTTACAATCTTCGCACTCCATATATAGACTAACATATTTGCGCTGTTGCCCCCAACCACACTTGGAGTGGGTTGTTTCCGTAGGTGGATTTTTGACACGGGTCTTGCCCGTGTTGAGATTGCGCTGGAACCCCCATTCCCTATACTACTCAGTAATCATATTTGTATGTCCAGGCGCTTTTTTTCTTTTCTCCAACTTTGGCGAWAAGAACTGAATTCTCACTTTTCTCATCGGAACTGAGCCAAATCTCCGACGAATCATCCGATGAAATAGAAAACCTATACGAAGCGGTTTTCGGAGGCCGAAGAAAACCAAAGATTCTCTCCGCGTATCTTTCTTTTCCGGGCCAAGAGAATTCTGTTCCATTGATGATTGTTCTTTTGTTTGGAGCTTTAGGAAAAAGTGGAACGTTACAAAGAGAATCCACGCATGAGCAGCACACTTTCAGCCACATATGTTGACTTAGTCCATGGAGTTCACTTTTCTGGCCAACATCATCTATCGTACCTTCCCATACAATACGAGTCTCAATTAAATTCAACAAGTTGTATTTTGAAATACTAACTCTAGTTTTAGAAACTGTTAACAAAAATTTGTTGTTAAAAATAATTGTTAGTAAACCGAGAAAAATAATAGACATCTTCACAAAACGTGCAGATAAAGGAAACATTTTGTAGGTGTCTGAGTTGAGTTGCTCAACAGAGATACTTMAAGTGAAAATGAGAAAGTCGTGTTGATTTGACAACCTTTTAGTTGTCAGTCAAGAGAAGCGCCAATTTTTTCAAATCTTAGTGACATTCCTAGCAACGACAACAAGGTTAACACTCTTTTAAAAATACATTCATTTTTGGTGGCAAACGTCATTCACTTTTAACTCGTTTCAGTTTCTTCAATGCTCAACTCAAAACTATAACCATTCAAAAATATTATTTTAAAATAGAAAAGTAATGAAGTTGGTTGTTTTAAAAAAAAAATTTGTATGATATTTAATTATCTTTCGAGGAAGAAGATTTACTTGAAGGGCGGGAAAGCCGTTATCTAGAAATTAATTTAATTATAAATACTTAGAAACCATAATGTAGGCGTGTATATTGAGGTGATGAATGGTGCTATTTTCTAATTGTTACTATAGATTAACAGCTTAAACTGTCTGAGAATTCGAATTAACATATAAACTGATATAAGGAAGGAATTGGGAAAAAAAAGATGATTTTCTAGTTAAAGATCGAGATGAGAGTCAAAAAACGATTGATGTATATTGAAAATTTTTCGGTTCGTAGAACGAGGAAATTATTTCT